CTGTGTTTTTTTGCGGCAGTTTTTTCTTTTCTTTTCTTTTTTTTTCCTTTTTTTCCTCTAGTTTCGAAGGAATCGTTTTTTAGTGTATCTAGGATTTGGTCTGCTTAAGATGAAGTTGAAATTAGGGTTTTTCTCATTAAATTTTAAGAATCGAGACTTGGTTGGGGTGTGAATTCGTTGATTTTATCTTGTTACTTCCAAGTTTTGATTAATTTCAATTTCGCGGGTCATTTTACATGGTGTTAGGTTGCTTTTCTTGTGTTTGCTTTTTTTTTTTTTTTTTTGCTGCTAGCGTTGTTATATGGTAGCTGAAAAGCACTGACTTTGATTGGTGGTATGCTATTAGGGAAAATTGCTCCAGTGGAGAAAGATTCTGCTAGAAATGTATGAAAAATTAATTACAATCGAATATATAGCTTATAGTGGCGTGCTCATGCATTTTTTTTGTGCTTTGTTAAACATGTTACCTAGTTTGATAGTGATAGTTTGGGTTTTAAAAAAATGTTCTTTATTTTGGGAGAATTCAGGGTGTTAGTGGACATTTAGGTTGAGCACTTGAGTTCACGTGTTTCCTTGTGGCTACTCTTCTCTATAAGTCTGTGGGGATTGCTCTAATAAATAAGTTCTTAAAGAGTGATGGGATCTCAAATTCACCAATACTTCAATGCTCGAAGACTCATTTTGGTGATGGAAAAACAGAAATGAAACAATTATGTTTGTGTGTGCTTTTGTAAACTCCATTTGAACATTTGGATATCTTCACTGAGATTCAGCAAGACCAGTAACTGTTGAAAGCAATGTTGTGAAGATTGCAATAGTGTTGTTACTTTTGTAAACTCCATTCGAACATTTGGAATTAAATTTTGTTTCATTTCTTTAACTGCTGAAGTGCCTGCAGATTTCTCTTATTTTTGAACTATTAAGATCCTAACGGTTCAGAATATTTATGCTCCGGAAGAAGAGGCCTTGTTTGTGGAGTTTTTTCACTTCCTCATTTGTGCTGAGGAAAACCCTAGCTCTTTTGTTAACTCTTCACACTAGAAATTACATCATTGGATGATATTTGGGCCTTTCAAGTGATTCGCAACTGTTGGTGTCTTTGTAGAAAATTTAAAACCTTGCTTTAGCCAACGGGGACACAATAGATCTGAAGAATTGGAACATCAGCTAAAGGCACAAAATAGTTGATAACTTGGCTGTTCAAATGCTTCAAGAGTGGTTTTGCTTGTAATAAAGGTGACAAAATGGGTAGGCAAGGATTTGGCAATGTTGAGATTTGCTGGTTAAGAATGTCTTCCTTATGATTTTTGGAGTTTGCATTTTAGAACTTAGAAGCTTTGCTAAACAAATCAGTTTCAACAGTTTTAGGTTTATGAATACTGTGAAATGTGAAAAACTTTATGATGCTTTGTCAAGTTGGAGAGTAATCTGTCATGGGGAAGCTTGTGATTTTGTAGCGATGCGTAACTTTAGTACAACAGTTTTTTTTTTTGTAATTTCCTGGAGTTTTCTGAAGATGGCATTTACGTGTTATCATGAAATCAAATTTAACTCTCAAACTCCACGAATCTGATGTATATAGTCTCTGCATTATCCTGTATTATGATTTGGAACAAATTTTTCTGGCAATTTAATATGGATGGTTGTTAAGTGAGTGATTGTATTTTCGCAAAATAAAATATTGTTTAATTATATTATTAGCTCTTTTTTTGGTGTGGTTCTCCTAGAAGGATGTTCAGCATGGACATGCCAGAATGTGCGTTTAATGAGTTGACTGGTTTGATAGTACTCATGGTATTCTTTTAGCTGCAGGGTATCAGGATTTGTAATGAGCGGTTGTTTGAACTTTATTTTTTCAATGCATATTGGTAGTTTCTTTTCTCACTTTAAAGTTCTGCCACAGGCATCATTAAAACATTAGTTAAATGAGATGGTCAGTAGGTGGTTATGCCTGTGTTTAACCCTTGTATTTTCATTCTGCATGTTTTCATGCAGCAGTTTTTGAGGTTCTGATCATAAATAGCATATGTGTGGCTATCTGTATATTATATCACAAAATAACAACTTCCTTTAATGCTTCCAAATAAACTTGTGTGAAGATATTGATTGGATGATCGCTGGTTACTATAGTGTCTGATATAATGGTGATCTCGCATGACCAAGTTATTTGTCTTTTTTCACAACATACTAAATGTCTCAATCATTATTGTAGACATCACCAGGAACATATTTGCCTTTTGAGATGTCTCCAGCATCAAAATCTAAGTCAAAGGACAAAAAGGCTGGCAAGGAACCCCAGAAGGCTACATCAAAGCCTTCGGGAACTGCTAATGCAGGGAGTGGTATCTCAGCTAGCGCATACAATCCACTGTCTGGAACATTCCATACCATTGAAACAGTGTCGACATCCTCTGCCTCACCTCTACACAGTAATGGTCGATTCCGAAACATAGATGAGACAGATGATCATCCTGGTGGCTTGTTAGGAGCTGGGGTTGATTATGATTCTGTTTCAAATAATGATAGCTGGTCTGGTGAGTCAGAAGATCAAAAAGAGAAGACTTCTAATCATCCAGTCCGGCAGGAAACAATACCAGGTGCGGACAATGACAAGCGGGAAAAAATCCGCCAGAAGAATGAGAAAAAGCATCAGCGTCAAAAGGAGAGGCGAGCACAAGAATTGCGTGAGCGGTGCACCGGCTATCTTATGTCGAGAAAGCTGGAAGCTCTAGCTCAACAGCTTGTTTCAATGGGATTTTTGCATGAACGGGCAACAATGGCTCTTATATTGAACGAAGGAAAGTTAGAAGAATCTGTGACATGGCTGTTTGAAGTGGGTGAACATGCAGATAAGCACAGGGATCAAAACCTTGGTGGGGGCACTTTGAAAATTGATATATCAGAAGAGCTTGCTCGGATTGTAGAAATGGAAATCAGATATAAGTGCACAAAGCAGGAGGTTGAAAGAGCTGTGGTTGCCTCTGAGGGTGATCTCGAGAAGGCCATGGAAAGTTTAAGACAACTGAAGCTAGATCCACCATCTGCTCCACCAAAACCTGAGGAAACTGGTGATCCTCCGACCTCAAGCAGTGATAAGCTTTCTGTAGCAGGTAGCCAGAATATGGTGAGACCACAACCAAAGCTCAACCCAACTTCTTTGATACAGCAAAGAAGAGATAAAGATTTTAACTATACAAAAGCAGGTGTTCCAGTGGGTGAATCTTTGGAATCTGGGAGTAAAAATGATCAGCCTTTGAAGAGAATACAACCGAAGTTGGATTGGCAAAAACCTCAGCCAACTCCGACTCCAGCTGACAAAAGATGGCCAAGTGCGGGATCAAATCCTTCTGTTTCTTATTCTTTGGCATCTCCTTTGCAAGCGCCACCTCCACCTGCCAAGACAGAAACCCGTTATGTTGCTGTTGGAAGTGAATATAAGAGCCTTCAGCCTGGAACAGTTAGAGAACCAGTGATAATGATGCAGCGGCCTCAATCGGTAAGTTCAAAGCAGGTTCCAATTACAAGCACAAGTTCATCTCCTCCTGGGACAGCTGCCGGTTGGTATCCCAACAATAGAGTTGATATCATGAAGCCTTTTGGCTTGATGCCTCCCATTCCTAGCACAAGAAGCCCCAGCCCAAACAATCTGAGTTCCAATCAGATGTTCCACCAATTTCATTATCAACAACCACAGCATTTTGTTCCCAGCAATGGTCCAGGGGATTCTCCTGGAACCAGCAAAGTTAATGGGTTGTGGAGTAGAACTGGTGCGTCACCATCACTCGCTGCTGCTTCTTCCCTTGGGCTTTTCTCTGGATTGGGTTCCACGGGTTCATCAGGGGCATCCTCTCCGGTTGATTGGAGCACATCTGGGTCAATGGCGCAGTTAGACTACACCAGCATAGACTGGAGTTTGGACCGAGGTTTATCTTCCCCGAAGCCTGGTGGATTATGGTTGGGCCCATCAAATTTAAAGAGCAGCCCACAAACGTATGATTCTAGCAGCGCTTCTGGCCTTGGTGCCAGGCTGGCAATGAGATCAGCTCCCAGTGCCAATGGCATACCCGTTCCAGGATTGCAGGATGGTGGTGTGGCTAATTCAGAAACATCCACCCCCGGTTCCCTTGAATGGACTTCGCCATTTGAAGGGAACGATCTCTTTGGCTTGTCAAGACAGTTTGTTTCATCTCCTTCGCTGTAGGGTGGTGGAGATGATTTCAATGAATAAAATGAAAAAAGAAATGGAAAAAAGAAAAAACCTCAGAATTTGGTGGTGGTTCCCTGTGTTGATTGTTGGTGAATACCATTCTAGTTTCTCAAAGGTCCTTTGCTTTTGATGTCATTCACCCCCCCCCCCCCC